ACACTGAATTCCCTTCCCCTCCATTCTCCTCTCAGGGTCTTGGGGGCACACACACATATACATGCGTGCACACGCGTGCCCTGCGTGAATGAGGCTTTCTTTTTAGAAAGCAGGATAGTACGTATAATAGTTAGGAATGTGAGTTCTGGAGCTGGACTGCCAGGATCCAGTTCCTGGCTGTTTTTTTCTCTATATATAACCGAGCCAGTTACATTTAATATCTCTTTGCCCGTTTTCTCATCTGTAAAGTGAGAAAAATGGAATTTATCTAATATGACTAATTGAATTATTTTCAGTTTCTAAATGAGAACAGTGCTTAGCATAGTAAATGCATGATAAATGTTAGTGATTTTATTATTTATTGTTATTACTACTGCTGACAAAGGAGTATTATGAGTTCTTTGGTCAAATTGATTTTGGGGACAGCAGGTGGCATCATGAGTAAGGTGCTGAATCCCATATGGCCAACTTTGTGGTTGGAGTCCTGGACCCCAGTGGCTTGAAAAACACGCTGGGCACATTTTCATGCAAAAAATTCCAAGAAAAGAATGAAGGAAAAGGAATTGTGGTAGGGCCACTGCCCCTCCCCCTCCTTGTGGTGGCGGTGTGCGGGGTGGGTTCTCACTTCCCTCTTTCTGTGTCTGTCTCTGTCTCCAGTGTCAAGTGCACTGCCCTATAGTAGAACACTTTAAAAAAAAGATTTCGTGGAAAGGAGGCTATCGAAATCCTTGAAATAGCTATATACTTTTTAACTTATTTTTATTTTTTAGAGAATTATTTGTTTAATTTTATTCATTCATTTAATTTGACCAAACTGAGACACACAGAGAAAGAGAGAGAGAGAGGGTAAGTGAGAAAGCAAGCTACCAGGTCCAGGACTTGAACCATGGTGGGCCACGTGGGAGTGTTCATCACCTTAACCATCAAGCCACCTGCTGGCCCCCTATATTCTTTTAAAAAAGACAAATTTCCAAAAATCTACCTCTCTCAGAAACATTTAAAACTACTGTCTGGCGAGCACACGCACCGTACAGCAAAAAAATCCCTCTCTAAAAAAATAAAATAAAATAAAATGAAACCACTTAAAATGTAGACCAGCATTTCATACTAAATGGTAAATAAAAGGTCCAACTAGGACTGTACCTTGAAAAATGAAACTAAAACTTTGGGCAAACATTAAGTTGTAATTATAAATGTGTCAGTTGTTATATTTAACAAAAATGAATCAAGTGTGAATACAACTTACACAGTTTAAAAAGGATATAAAACATTTTTAGAAAGAATTCCATCAGATATGCTTAACATTTTTAACCGTTTCATGTTTAAAGAGTTGGTGTGGAATTTGTTCCCTTTCCCAGTGCTAGTTTTAAGAAATACTAGAATTTAGTCTTGGGTTTTTAAATCTGACTTTCATTCTTTCTTGTGCCATTCTTTGGAAGTTTAACTAGTGGCATCCCCATTCACAGCATCCCTGGGAGTCAAAGTCACTGGCCTTTTCTTTGTTCACATTCTTTTTAAATTCTCACATGTTTATAGTCTTTTGTGGTACCATTGTATCTAGTCTTAAGCCTGTCTTTGTAACAATTTTTAAACAATTTATCAGTAACCTTTTCCTTTTCCTAGCTGTGGATGTTCCCTAATATTCTGGTGTTTACTTGCTGCTCTTTTTACTCTGTTGGAAACCTGTGTGTATGTGTGTCTGTGTTTGTGTTTACTGATTCAGCTCATTATGTAAAATCTTAAATCTGTTTCTTGTCTTAACCTCAGTAAACCTGTATCTCCTGTCAGGATCTTTTCCAGGTGGTAAATTTAGTATTATCTCTACTGACAAAGCTACCTTCTGAATATCCCTGATTCTGTTAGTGAATTATCATTATTTTAGCTACCTGTATTTAAAATTTTGAATTTATCTCCAATTTCAAGCTATAGTTGATAGAAAAATCAAAGATTGTTCATTAAATAGCCTTATAGTGTGTGGTATGGTGCATGGTATAGTGCCAGGTGCTGAAGGCCTTGTCTTGGAAGCATTTTGTTAAGATATATTCTTATCAGTGCCTTATTGTTTTTGATGATAAATATTCAATGACTGTAGCCTCTTGAGAGGGGTGATGAAGTTAAGTTTTCATAAAAGGGGATGAATTTAAGCTCCTCATTAAGAATGACTTCAGACTTTTCTTGGAAGACACAGATGGGCAGAGGTGCAGGGATTTGGGCTGGATAGTGTAAAGCATATATTAAATATACATTATTCATCTAAGTATTTTAACATTTTAATAACTTAGGAACCATTGTCTTTGTTTTACAGACAGGCTTTGAAAGAGTGAAACCTAATCCTGGTCAAATTAGGAGAGGGCTCTTCATGAAGTTCATGGAAAATGTGCATTATGAAAAGCAATGCATAGATTTCAAACTTTTTTTTGGCACCAAAAATAAACTTATACTTTATTACATTTTCCAACCAACTCTTTTTTCTTCTTTTAATTACCAGAGGTGGTTTACACTCACCAGAAAATGGAAGAGTAGACTGAGAGAGAGAGGTAAAAAGAGAAAGCAGCCCCCAATGGGGTGTGGTCATGCCTCAGTCTCTTCCTTCTTTATTTCTCCATCCTGTCAGGATTTTAGACATATATGAACATGAACCCGATGTTTTTTTCAAGTTCCAGGGTCGAGATTCAAACCATGGACGCCCTTATGGACTGTGTACCTTAATTACTAGGCTGTGCTGGGCTAGCATCACCCATTTTTTTTGAAGTACCCTTCTAGGCTAAAGAGGACAGAATACCGTCTCCCTTCTGTTTTCAGTGTACCACTTTTGAAAATTAAAAACAGTGAATCTTTTCAGTTGTGAAACTTTAATTCACAGAAAAGTAGAGAAAAATAGCACAGCTGTGTACCATGGCAGATGATTTACTATATTTGCTTCAAATCTAGTTGGGTTTTTTTTTGGGGGGGGGGGTTTGCTATAGGGCATGTGTGCTTGCCAGAAAGACAGAGACAGAGCGACAGAAAGCGAGAAATCACCCCCCAAGGGGGATAGCCACACTGCAATCCCTTCTCCTCCATTCTCCTCTAGGGATCTTGGGCATGCATGCACATGTGCCGGTGTGAGTTTAAGCCACTGGGTCCAGGACTCGAACCTCGGTCGACTACATGGGAGTTCAGCGATGTAGCCATTACACCATCTGCTGTTCCCTGCTTCAAATCTAGTTTTAAAAAACACAGTTGAAGTTTTTTTCATCTTTATCTTGTCCACCATAGACAACCAGTATGTAGTATCCCAAAATTGGTATGTATTATTTCATCCACATTTTAATTCTCTCATTATATCTGTACATACCCATAAATGATGTAATTTAAAATTTAATACAGATGCTTTTATAAAGGTATGTGTATTTTTGCAAATTGCTTTTTTTACTTATTTGCTCAAATAATTGCTGATATTGTGCATGCACTCACCAGAAAAACAAGAGAGAGAGAAAAAAAAGAAAAAGGAAAGTGAGAAAGCACTTCCTCCTGGGGTGGGTGGTGGCTATGCCACAGTCCATTTGTTTCCATTCTCCTCTCGGAATTTTGGGCACACCGGCACCTGTACCCAGTGTGTTTTTCGAGCTACCAGTCTAGGACTTAAACTGCATTTGGCCATGTGAGACTCAGATGCCTTAACAACCATGCCACCAGCTGGCCCAGTGCTCATTAGTTTTATAGTTACTATTTCTAGGCCCAAGGGATCCAGTAGTGGGCATGGAAGATGAGACTACCTGCCTATTAACATTTCAGTGGAGAAAACATACAGTAAATAAATAAAATAGATGGTATAACAATCTGGTTAGGGTAAATGCCATGGAAGAAAACTGAACAAGGTCAGGGAACGGAAAATGATGTGGGAATGAGATGTATACTATTTCTGATAAAGTGGTCAGGGAATTCCTCTTTCAAGAGGTGACTTTTGAAGCAACTGAATTAATTGAGACAATAAGCCATGTTGTGCTCTGGAGAAGAGAATTCTAGGGAAGGAAACATCAAGTGCAAAGGCCATAAGTAAGAATGACCTTGGAGTACTTGAGAAATGGAAAAAATTCAAGTATAGTTAAGTGCTAAGAAAACAGTTAGTTTGAAAGAGAAGCTAAGAGCCAGGTCATATAGATCCCATAAAGTAATGTTAAGGAATTGATTTATTTCAGGGTTTGGTACATCTTAAAACAACTTTTAGTACAAATTGCATTTAACAGTGTGATTTGAATATTATCATGACTTTTTGCCCAAACTTTGAAAGACCATAAATATATTCTAGAGAATAATGACCTTAAGGACTACCTATACTTTTCTTAAGACTTTTGTTCAGATCAAAACATACTGTGTTCAAATTTGATATAGCATATATTTCAATGAAGAGTACTTGAGAGTCAAATCTTATTTTATTTTATTATTTTTTTTGAAAGAGTTTTTTGCCATAAGGCACATGTGTGTGCCTGAGAGACACTGAAAGAGAAATCACCTCCCACGGAAGCTGGCCATGCTGCAGTCCCTTCTCCTATAGGGATTTTGGGCACATCTACACACATGCCTGACTTGACTTCCAAGTCACTGGGTCCTGGATTTGAACTGTGGTCGGCCATGTGAGTCCAGCAATGTAACCATTACACCATCTGCTGGTCCTGATGGTATAATCCGAGAGTCAAGTCTTTAGATGACCATTTAGAACTTAATGGCCTGAATAAAGAAAATAAAGTCCAGAGGTTGCCTGTATAGTGCAAACTGTTTTTGCCTTTGGTTATGGTTTGGGATTGCCAGTGAATTATTTGTTCATGTTACAAAGAAGGAAAGTAATTGTCACAGAACTTTTAGAGAAAACATTTCTTTCAGAAGTTAAATGTTTTATGCTTTGCTTTGTAATGCTTTCCACCTCTTATTTCAAAATTACATACTTTTCAATTATATTAATTTGAATGATGTGAATTGGATTGATTTAAATGAGGATCTTTTCCCCCTTTCTCTTTCAGGCCTTGAACCAATGAAAGAAGCATATGGAACTTACAAAGATAAATGTCACTCCTCCCTTTGTAATTGGAGCTTCTGCTTAGGACCAGTATATGACTTTTCACCTGTGATCCATTCTTTCAGTAGCCGCTGACTTTAAGTTACAGAAAGGTCTCTGAAGATTTGTATCAAATGACGTCAATGGCCAGCTTGTTTTCTTTTACTAGTCCAGCAGTAAAGCGATTGTTGGGCTGGAAACAGGGAGATGAGGAGGAAAAATGGGCAGAAAAGGCAGTCGATGCTTTGGTGAAAAAGCTAAAAAAGAAAAAGGGTGCCATGGAGGAACTGGAGAAGGCTTTGAGCAGTCCAGGACAGCCAAGCAAATGTGTCACTATTCCTAGATCCTTAGATGGACGCCTGCAGGTTTCTCACAGAAAAGGCTTACCCCACGTTATATATTGTCGTGTTTGGCGCTGGCCTGATCTACAGAGTCATCATGAGCTAAAGCCATTGGATATTTGTGAATTTCCTTTTGGATCTAAGCAAAAAGAAGTTTGTATCAACCCATACCACTATAAGAGAGTGGAGAGTCCAGGTAGGTTTTACTCCTCTGAAGGGTATTTAAAAAAAAAGAAAGAAAACTTCTCCCTAGTTTGCATGTAACTGGATTTGAAAATTAAAAGATTATTAGTACTGCATTTACTTCTTACAGATTTTAGTCTTGGAAAGAATATTGAATTTTGAGTTTAGCTTTTTCTCCCTATCCTTTATGAGAGAAGGAAAGGGAGAGAGACAGATAGCAGATAGTTGGGTTTTTTTGTTTGTTTGTTTTTTAATTTAGGGTTCAGAAGATGGAGTACTGGTTATGTCACTGGATTCCCACATGGCCGACTGTGGTTCAAGTCCCAGACCTGGTAGCTTGAAAATCACACTGGGCACATGGGCATGTGTGGCCATCCCCACTGGGGAGTGATTTCTCACTTTCCCTCTCGCTGTCTCTGTCTGTCTGTCTCTTTCTCCCTCCCTGTGAGTATATGCACCCTGAGACAAAAACCTCTTAAAAAAAAAAAAAAAGAAGAAGAAAACTTTTTAAAAATTATTTTAAAATTTGCTTTAGGGTATGAATACTCACCAGAGAAAGAGACAGAGAGAGAGAGGGAAAGTGAGAAAGCAAGCTGCCAGATACAGGACCCAAACCATGTAGGAGTCTAGCTCCTCAACTCCCAGGCCACCTGTCGGCCCAAGAGATAGGCATTTTGGTAGAGTCATGCCATGTCACAATCCTCCTGCCACAGCTTCCCAATTAGCTACGACTGCAGGTGTGTGCACCTCTGTGTTTACAATGTGTTTACAGTGGATTGGGAACTGAACCTAGACCTCTTGTGAGCTTCCAACCACCCAAGTGGTGGCACTAAGGTGGGCCACAGCTGAGCCTTGAATTTAGTTGTTAATAGGTAGTAGATAAAAGTCCCAGATGACCTCTTCTAATGTATCGTTTGCTGTCAGCACAGATAGAAGTATTCTGCCTCCCCTGTGGGTAACTGTTTGCTTTACCTGCTCTCTAAGTGGACACTAGATCCCATTCCTTTGTTGCTGTAGTTACCATCTTCCTCTCTAGCATTGTGTTTTCACTCCTTACCAGACTGTTACTGACAGCATAGGAGCATGTTTTGATACTACTCACCCTCAGAAGTTAAAAAAGAATTCTTTTTACTTTACTCATACACTCCACCTTCAAATCTACTGTACTATTTCCTCTTGTCTGTTTATAGGACTCTCCACTTTCATTACTTGCACATCTTTATTTTCTATCCTTCCTTGTCACTGCTCTAGTCTTTTTCCTATTTAGTTTGTCAAGATTACTAATTACTGCCTTCATTTCTCCATCTTCATTTATTTGTCCTCTCGACAGCACTGATACAGTTGATAAAGTACTTCTAACTTCTTACTCAAAACTTTTTCTCTATTTGCTCTCTAAGACATATTTCTTTCCTGGTTCTCTTACATCTTTGGCTGTTCTTCCTTAGTTTCTTTGCTGGCTTGTTCTCCTGTTTTCATAGGCCTTAGTCCTTAGACCTTTTCTCTCTCTCTCTCTCTCTCTCTCTCTCTCTTGCTCTCTTTTTTTTCTATGCTTTCATGCTACCCCTTGTTTTAAAACTACCTGTAAGCTAGTGCTCACATTTTAAACTTCAGAGTCAGCTTTCTTGAGTTTTAGACTTGTGTATTTAGTTGCCTACTTGACTCCTTTATTTGAATTTATCTAAAAAATATGTCTTATGCTTTATATATAAATATATATATATATGTATATACTTATATACTTTATATATGCGTTCACACACATATTTATGTGTGTGTGTATACACACATATATATATATATTTTATTTTTAGGTATTTGCCATAGGACTCGTGAGCTTGCCAGACACAGAGAGAGGAAAACTGAGAAATCACTGCCCTTGGAGGGTGGGTGGTAGTGGCCATGCCAGAATCCATTCTCTTCTTAGGATTCTGGGCACACATGCACATGCATCCAGCATGATTCCAAGGTGTTGGGTCTGGGACTTGAACTACAATTGTCCATGTGGGAGTCCTATACCTTATCCACCATACCACTTGGTGACCCTCCCCCAGTATAATATGTTTAATCAGAACTTTTGATTTTTTTTCTACCACCAAAGTCATTTTTTTCTCTTTTCCTTATTGAAGTAAATGGTCACAAATATTCATGTAATTGATAATACCCTAAACGTAGGGGGTCATATTTTATTCTTTTTTTTTTTTTAACTACTTCCTTTTTTAGAGAGAGAGAGACTTTTGCTATAGGGCACACGCACTTGCCAGAGAGACAGAAAGTGAGAAATAACCCCCTGGGGGGATAGCCACACCACATTCTCTTCTCCATTCTCCCCTCAGGATTTTGGGCACACAAGCCCATGCACCTGGTATGAGTTTTATTATTTTTTTTTATATGATCAGTTATTTAATTAGGTTCTTGGCAAGAAATTTAGAACACCAATTTGTAAGGATAAACTCTATTTGTAAGGGCAAACCCGGATCTTAGGTAGCCCTGGAGCTGAGGAATAGCTTTGCTTTTTGTTAAAATTTGCGAGTCCACAACTTTCTGGTCAACATTGCACTGCTCTCTTATTTCATATTTCTCCTTTTCTTTGTTGAAGATCGCATCTTCCTGTTGTCTGGGCTTCTGCAGCTTTTTCTTGAAGTAAGCATCAGTGAAATGTTTTAGGATTTTTACTTTGCTAATATCAATTTTCGTGGAGGTGGTGATGACAGATTTGTGGTGTGTTCTGTGCAGTGGAACTCAATTGAGAACCAGAAGTTTAGTTACAAGTAGCAAGCCACTGCTCAGCTACATCAGGAAAACCACTCTCTTGCCTCTGGTGTCCAGTGAGGATGAACAGAATGGTCCCAAGAGTGATGCTAGCTCGCAGCTTTCTCACATGCTGACTGAAGGGCTTTTGCCATGGCTCAACAGCTTTCGAGCATGTTTTCAGTAGGATAATACATAGGCATTTTGCAAAGTTTAACCACCTGGATACCTCCATCCTTGTCTCCACCAACTGGTTTTGTGACAGTGGCAAGAACCTTCTCTTTCTTTTCATCCTAGATTTAGTGACCAGGTATTGCCTCTTGTTTATGGCCTTCCTGGAGTACATGGCAGATTGGGATGGTATCTGCCATTGCCTTGGATGAGGTGTTGGCTGCAATGGGCTTCCCCTTCTTGGGCTTTTTAACCTTTCTTGGGGTCTCCCTTTTTAACCTAGCCACTGGCATCAGCCTTCTTGGCTTCAGGTTTCTTCTTAGTATCCCTCTTCTAGGCTTTTTACCTGCCATCTTGTATAGTGGGAAAGGAACTCCCAGTGTGAGTTTTAAGCCGCCAGGTCCTGGACTTGAACTGCAGTCAACTATGTGGGAGTCCAGCATAACCATTATGCCATCTGTTGGTCCCTTATCCTTTTCTCTTATGTCCTGCGGTTGAGTTCTGATAAAATGCTGTTTGCTACATCTTCAAATTTTAGCTTGATACTATCACCTCTAACCATCTCTTAACGCTACATATAGATCATCATCACTCTTCACCTTAAGTAGTCCTGTAATCGAGGCTTGTGCTTCTCTTCTTTATCCCTAACCCATTGTGTTTTCTTTTTTCTTTTTTTTTTTTTTAAGAGACATTTTGCAATAGGGCACGTGTGTTTGCTGGAGAGACAGAGAGAGACAGAAAGGGAGATATTAGCTCTGGGGGGATGACCACACTGCAGTCCCTTCTGCAGTCTACTTTCACAATCTTGGGCATGCATGCACATGGCCGTGGTGTGAGTTTGAAGCTGCCAGGTCTGGGACACAAACCACAGTTGGCCATGTGGGAGTCTAGCTGCTGGTCTACTATGCCATCTACTAGTCCCCACATCGTGTTTTCTGTAGAGCAACCAGAGTGATCTTAAAACAGAACAAAACAAAACTTAATTGAGTTGGCCCTGTAGTGCAGCAGTTAAATACTGCACATTGGGAGCTCGATCCTGTATAGGTAACTGTGGTTCCAATCCTAGCCCTGGTGGCTTGAAAACGCTTGTGCCCCAGAATTCTGATGGGATAGAGAAATGGAGGAAAAAGATTGTGGCACAGTCACACCCCACTGGGGGGTTGCTTGGTCTCTCATTCTCCCTCTGGTGAACACATGTGCCCTTTGGCATTAAAAAAAATGTCTATCAAAGCATGTCAGTCCTATTGAAAATACTTTAAAGACTCTAATATTACATTTAGAAGAGATTTCTCCAAGACTTTGCATGACTTATCATCAGACTTCCTCTGTTCCTTGGACTTGCCACCCTCCCATGTCTGAGCTTTAAGTCCTGCTAGTTCCCCTACGAAGAGTACTCTTGAGGATCTTTTTAGGGCACGCTTTAAATCCATTTAGTCTTCATTCAAATATCCCTATTTGACTCCATGCTAGATATTTATTTTAGTTATTGACATGACCAAGACTTTCCTCTTCTTCTGTGTTACTGCATCCCCAGTGTCTAGAACAGTGTTGCTACATGGCACTTAGTACATGGCGCTCAGTAAATTTTTTTGTGGGGAGGGAATGAATTGTATAAGCTGATATACTAGCTGGGTGCATTAGTTATCTATTGCTGCATAATGAATTACTACTTTAGTTGCTTCATAGGTGGTTCATAGTTATGGTTTCTTATTTAAATCCAGTTAAGAGAGGGTCTTCTTGCAATGAGGGCATTATATTCTTAGGATCTCATCACCTTTGCCATATTCTGTTGGTTAGAAGCAAGTTATAGGTCAAAAAAAAACAAGGGAAAAGGATTTCCCAAGTGCATGGATACCCAGAAGTAGAAATCGTGGAGGTCACCCTAAGAGTCTATTTTACCATTGTGGATTTCACATGGAGATAATAGAACCTTTTGTGATAAAAGACACACTTTGGAAATAACATTAAATGTGGATACTAATAGTGATCGTGCTGTCAGGGGAAGTTTGTTTTAAGAGTTTTAGAGCTACCAGTTGATATTTTAGATGATTCTCAATTTATTACTGCATCCAAAGAAAGCTGTTTTCTGAAGGAATTGAAGGAGGAATTCTGGAAATCATAGTGGTGTGTACTTGAAATTAACCAAACGAAGGAACAAAGCAATAGTTCACGTCAATAAAAGCACTGTTTAAGAAAAGTATAATCACAGTATACTTGCCTCTGCATGAATAACATATATATATATATATATAAATAATGGATTTTTATTTAATCAACAGTTTTTATGTAACTTTATTACTTTATTGTGGGGAAGGGGCTTGGGTGTGGGATAGAATAGTATAAGGAAACTGCTTCATTTGCCATAAAAACAAGTCTCCAAATAATGTCTTGATAAAATCAGTCATAACAACTAAACACTATTTAGCAGTACACAAAGTGAACATTAGAAAAAAATGGCTGAGTTCAAATTGAATGCTTATGGAAACAGAATTGGAAGGGGACTAGAAATTGCTATTTTTGTTAAAATCTTTTGTGACATCTGTTTTAACTATCCAAATATTATTTTGGGAGAAAATACAATTTTAAAAATCACATGCATAGATAGTGTACAAAAGAGAAGTCAGTGATTTTATACATGCTTCTAAAGAAAATAAAATCCTTTATTGGACTGAATTCCTTCTTAGTTATTTCAGTAAGTTTTCCAGATTGTTAGCCAGCTAAACATAGAAATTCTTCCGGTCTAATGCCTTACTCCCCAGTGGCAGCTGCTCACTCATTCTGTGAGGGAAACAGCAGTTGTTAATAGACAGTAGAACAAAACAGTTGTAGTCAGATGTAACCACATATTTACAGCAGTAGTAAAATGAAAAGAAACAAAAGCTGACTCACTGGGTCTCAATTTGTTGTATACATCTCCACTGTAGGGGTCGAAGCGTATGACCTAGTTAACTTAAAAACAAACTGACTTTCGTGGAGCCGAAATGTATCAGAATCAAAGTGAGATTTTTTTGAAGTGAAATTATATAGAGAAGTGTAATAAAGTTGTAAAAGAGGTGAACTGGTATAGTAAGATTTTGAATAATCAGATTTGTTTTTAGTTTCTGAAAGAGAAGAATAATCAGATTTTTAAATTTAATTGATCACACTATTCTTTAAAGAAAGTGAACATTTGAATAAGGTTAAAGTTCATCTTTTAAAAAACTTTAAAGATGTTTACAGTTTGTCATATATATTTTAATTATGAATGCATTTAGAAGACTGATTTTGAATACTTCAGTCTAGGGAGTGCTAACTTTTTTCAGTAGAGAAAACATTACTGAAGAACATTAAATGTGAGATCTCTCAAATTAAGAGTGACAGAAGTGTTCAAACTTGGAACCGTGGAGGTTTTCAGGGTGGTCACATAACTGACCTCAACTTCACTGTCTAGTGTTATCTCTAGTTTGTGTCCTTTCTCATCCTCTCTGCCAGGGGTTTCCCCATCTTTGTCCTCCAACTCCCCCTACCACTAGAATAACCTCATAAGTATTAAGGTCTTTTCCACAGTACTTTGATTTTCTGCTAGCTGAACTCCCATTATATTTTATGTATTATGATTTTTTTTTTTAAAATATGCTTTATTCCCTATAGAACAGGATTAGTACCTTTTCTGGATTTCTGTCTTTGTAATACCTTTTATAGGCCAAATATTTATAGTTTTTGGTGTAGTAATGTAAATATATTGTAGATTCAGAGTTTCGTAAAACAACTCTTCCTAAAAGTAAATTGCTTTAATATGTTTACAGTCCTATGTGAATCCTTTTTACCATCTCCTTATGTAGATGGCACATTTGCATTAGTCATTCCTGACAAACGAACTTCGATTTTTGTCTTTCAGTCTTACCTCCAGTGTTAGTGCCTCGTCATAATGAATTCAATCCACAACACAGTCTTCTGGTTCAGTTTAGGAACCTGAGCCACAATGAACCGCACATGCCACAAAATGCCACGTTTCCAGATTCTTTCCACCAGCCCAACAACACTCCTTTTCCCTTATCTCCAAATAGCCCCTACCCACCCTCCCCTGCCAGCAGCACGTATCCTAACTCCCCTGCAAGTTCTGGACCAGGAAGTCCATTTCAGCTTCCAGGTAAGACTTGATTTTATTGATGCAAAAAATAATAGTAACAGTCACTGAGAATCAGCACTTATTCTTACTGCTGAGCCTCTTCTAGATGAAATATGTGCCCCAAACTAGCTGTTTCTGACTCTTTATTCTTTAGATTATTTGATTTCCAGAACAGTTTAGATTTTGCCAAGTACCATGTATTTAAAAAATGGAAATAGCCTAATTTGATTTAAAGTTTAAGTACATTTATCATCATTGATACTGTGATGAATGTTACTGTATTAAATGTAATCTTTAGAACAATTATATAAAATAGATATTCCTGTTTCACAGATGGAAGGAAAATGGGTGTTAACTCCGAAAGTTTAAATACATACATATATTGTGTTTCAAGTCATTTGAGACTTTGAAAGTTTAAAATGAATCTCACTTAGTTTTAAGTAGATAAGTTGATGAACCGATTTGACTGGAGAAAGATGATAAGTAGTTTTTAGAATGTTCCTACATTTTGTTAATGGCTGATCAATAGAGCCTCTGATTTGTTAGGTGCATCTTTATGGACACACCATTATGACCTTCCATCAAGAAATACTTGAATATGTACGGTCATCAGGCAGTCCTGTCTAAGTACATTCTTTGTGGTTTCTGAACTACAGCAAAATAGCAACTAAAGCTTTTTTTGTTTGTTTTGAAGTAGAAATAATAGTTTTAGGAATTTGTTCAAAAATGGGATGGAAGGCAAATTATTTTCTGTATTTATAATTACTGAGATGAAGTGTAACTAGCTTTTGCAAAGATTTTCAACTACAAGTACTGGAATTCAAAAGATTTTTTTGGTTAACGTTCTGTTTCTTAAGTTAATTATCTAGTTATTTGGTAGAATGCAGCAGCCACTTTTGGATAGTGCAAAGAATTAAGACAGTTGCTGTTAGCATTGATGGCAGATTTGAAGGGACATAGTTTTATTTTCCAGTTTTAAGTGACAGTATTGAATATGCCATGATCTTGATCATTTAGAAGTGTCTCTAGTGTATATTCGCCTAAACTAGGATAACCTATGTAGTGGCTGCAGCTTGTTGTATTTTGTGATTGTAAGCAAATAAAAGCAAAATTCTTGAATTCTATTTTAGCGAATTTTAGTACTGATTCTGGGTACCAGGGATCTGGGCTAAATAAATATGTGTTTGTAGTAGGTTTCTGGTAATCATTAGTTGTGTTTTATTTTCTCCTTTCCCTCATCTTAAGCATAGCATCCTACTTTTGTGTGTGTCTGATGTTCAGTAATGAGCCCTGCTGATAATCTGATGAATTTTTAAATGCTTTTAGAATGATAACGTTGAACTTTAACTTGTCTCACTTTCTGGGCTTGTCTTACTTTCTTCCTTTTAGCTGATACTCCTCCCCCTGCCTATATGCCTCCTGATGATCAGATGGGTCAAGATAATTCCCAGCCGATGGATACAAGTAATAATATGATTCCTCAGATTATGCCTAGTATATCCAGCAGAGGTATGAGAAGTACTCACTATACTTACTTTGTTGGTATTTTTGTTTCTTAACTTCCTGGTCACTTCTTGTTTATCTCCTCCTTTCTTCTATGAGCAAGACAGAGAAACAGGCACCACAGCAGGGTCCACATGTTGCATCTCACCCCCAGGGGTCTCACACAAGTGCCTGGTATGTTCAAGGAGGTCTCCTGTATGCAAACCCAGAACTTTCCTATGTGGGTCAGCATTGCATAGTATTGTGTTACTGCTGTGCCACTGTTGGGCCCACTTGGCTACTTCTTAAAAGCAGCCTTACCTGAAGTACAATTTACATACTATAAAATTTATCTATTATATTATTCAGTGATTTTAGTAAATGTATACAATTTTCTTTTTTTCTTTTTTTTTTTGAGAAAGGTTTTTGCTATAGGGTACATGCATTCAACAGTGAGACAAAGACAGAAAGCAAGAAATAACCCCCTGGGAGGATGGCCATGCCGCAATCCCATCTCCTCCATTTGCCTCTCGAGTTTATGGGCGCGTGTGCACATACATGCCCAGCGTGAGTTCTAAGCTGCCGGATCTGGGACTCGAACCACAGGCAACTACATGGGAGTCCAGTAGCATAACCATCACACCATTTGCTGGTTCCAACAATTTTCATTACATATACTCTAGTTTTAGAACATTTCTATTCTTCTTCAAATAGATCCCCGGGCATGTCTGTTTCCCCACTCCTGTCTCTAGCTCCACATACTCTATAATCTCTAGACATACTTTTTTTGTGTGCTTCATATAAATAGAAACACATAATATGTAGTCTTTTGTATCTGGCTTCTTTCACTTAGCAGAATATTTTCAGAGTTCATCCATGTTGTAGCATGTGTTAATAATTTATTCCTTTTTAATTGCTGAATGGTACCCCTTTGAGTGGATATCACAGTTTGTTTATCCACTTACCAGTTAGTAGACATTTCAGTTATTTAATGTTTCTGGTTACTATGAACAGTTCTTTTGTGAACATTGGTGGGAACATAGTATTTATTTTTCTTAGGTAGATAATCAAGAGTGACACTGCTTAGTTATATGATAACAGTTTAACTATAGAAGAAAATTGCCAAATTTCTCCAAAGTGTCAGTACCATTTTATTGGGTCATTGGAAAAATCATGACATATTTGTGTATGTATTTCTATGCAAAGTGCATCATGACTTATCTGTTGACCTAATACATTCTTTCTTTCTTTTTTTTTTTTTTTTTTTTTTTTTTTTTTTTTGAGAGGTTCGGTTTTTTTTGCTATAGGGCACGTGCGCTCACCAGTCAGAGAAACAGAAAGCAAGAAATCACTCCCCAGAGGGGATGGCCACGCCTCAATCCCGTCTCCTCCATTCTCTCAGGATCTTGGACACTCATGTACACACGCCGGCATGAGTTTTAAGCCACTGGGTCCAGGATGTGAACCGCGGTCGACTACATGGGAGTCCAGCGACATAGCCATTATGCTAACTGCTGGTCCCAACCTAATACATTCTTAATGAGGGTTCCAGTTTTTCGCATCTTTTATGGTCTATCTTTTTGATTATTGTTCTTCTTGTATGAAGCGCTCACTGTGGTTTTAATTTGCCTTTCCCTCCTGAGTAATATTTTTATACTAATAAGCTATTCTTGTGTCTTCTTGGTAAAATGTTTATTTATACATCTTTTGCCCATTGGGTTGTTTGTCTTCTTATTGAGTTGTAAGCGTTCTTTATATACTCTAGGTACAAGTCCTTTATCAGACATATGGTTTGCAGATATTCTCTAACTGAATTTCTTTTCTTTTGTTTTTTAAATGTTTTTGCCATAGGGTGCTTGTGCTTGCTGGAGAGAGCCTGAGAGAGGTAAAGTGAGAAATCACTCTCCGGAAGGATGGCTACCCCACGGTTTCATCTCTGGGATTTCGGGCATGCACACACATTGGCATGATTTTCTGATTGGCAGGGTTGGCCATGTGGGAGTCCAGTACTTTAACTACTACACTGCCTGCTGTCCCGGTCTTTTCATTTTCTTTGTTTTCCTTTCTTCCTTCCTTCCTTTTTTTATTTTTTAATTTTTTTATTTTTGTCTGAGGGTATGTTTACTTGGGGAGAAAGAAGGGAAATGAGAAATCACCTCCCTGGGAAGATGGCCATGCCTCAATTCCTCCTCCATTCTGTCAGTATTTTGGGCATGCACACACATTTGCCCAGTATGTTTCTGAAGGTGCTGGGTCTGGAACTTGAACCTGTGGATACAGAGGGTCAACTGTATTATTGTATTATTGTCTCTTCTCTAAATATTTGATAGAACTTATTAGGGAAGCGATCTAGAATTGGATTTCATTTTGTGGGGATGATTTTAATTACTGATTAGACTTATTAGAATGGTCTTACTCAGATTTTCTGTATTATTTTTGAGTCAATTTTTCTTTATTAATCCTTTCAATTTCTGTAGGATAGGTATGATGTTTTCATACCTGATTTTGATGCTTTGTGTCTTGTCTTTTTTTTTTTTTTTTGTCTTTTTGATTTAGTGAAAGATTTGTTCATTTTATTGCTCTTTTATAACAAAAACAACTTTTGGGACCAGAAGATGGTGTAATGATTATGTTGCTGGACTCTAATATAGTGGACTGCAGTTTATGTCCTGGGCCCGATGACTTCAAACTCATGCCAGATGTGTGTTTGTGTGTGTGTGTGTGTGCCCCAAATCTTGAGAACAGAATGTAGGAGAAAGAATTGTGGTGTGATTTCTCACATTGTGTCTCTTTATCTGGCGAGTGCACAGGCCCTATAGTAGAAATATCTCTCTCTCAAAAAAAACTTTTAATTTTATTGATTTTTTTCTCTTTCTATTGATTTTTCACTGTAATCACTGTTATTTCCTTTATTTTGCTTGCTTTCAGTTTAGTTTACTCTTTTCAGATTTTCTTAAGGTGAAATCTTAAGTCACTGGCTTTTTTTTTTTTTTTTTTTTTTAATTGAGAGGATGGAAAGAGGTGGAGGGCAGGATGGGCAGGCATTTCTGATAAGATCTTGCCAAGGTCATGATCCTCCTGCCCCAGCTTCTCAGCCAGCCAGGACCGTAAGCATATCCCACCATTCTCATCTCCCTGTTCTGTCAGTCTGGGAACCAAGCCTGGACCTTCTATGTGGCTCTGGCCTGTTGCACTGGCACCAGACTGGACCTAACGTTTTTGGTTTTAGACTTAAAATCAGTCCTTGATACACTAGTTTTTATTATTTTGCTTTCTTTCAAAAATGTATTATTTTTAATTGACACATAATTATGTGTATTTATGAGATAGAGTGTGATATTTCCATATATGTATATAGCATGTAATAATCAAATTAGGGTAATTAGCATACCCAGCACCTCAGACTGTTTATTTCTTTGTGTTGAGAATATTCAGAAACCTCTCTTCTAGCTATTTTAAAATATACATTAATTTGTAACTGTACTCACCCTATAGTGCTGTAGAACGTTAGAATTTATTCCTTTTATCTAGTTGTAATTTTGTATCTGTTAACGTCTTTCTATCCTCCCCCCCTACACTTTTTTTGCCTTCAGTAATCTCTTTTTTTTGCTTTCTGCCTTTTTTTTTTAAAGTTATCATGTATGCATGAGACACGTAATAGTATTTTTGTGCTTGGTTTATTTCAGCTGACAGTATGTCCTCCAGGCTCATCTACATTGCTACAAATGGCAAGATTCATTCTTTTTTATGATTGAATAATATTCTATTACGTTATAGATATATGTCATTTTGGGGGGAGGGTTTGCTATAGGGCGCATGAGCTCACCAGAGAGAGACAGAGAGACAGAAAGTGAAAAGTCCCCCCTGGGGGGATGGCCACACCACAATCCCTTCTTCTTCATTCTTCTCTCAGGATCTTGGGCATACACACATGTGCCTGGTGTGAGTTTAAGCTACCGGGTCTGGGACTTGAACTGTGGTTGACTACATGGGAGTCAAGCAACGTAGCCATTATGCCATTTGCTGGTCCCCTTATTTTCCTTAACTATCTGTTGATGGACACTTAAGTGGATTCCCTATCTTGATTGTTGGGAATAGTACGGAAATAAGCATGGATTTGCAGATACCTCTTCAACATACTGATCTTTCCTTTAGATAAATACCCAGTAGTGGGATTGCTGGATCATACAGTAGTTCTGTTTTCAGTTTTTTGAGGAAACTTCATACTTTTTATTTCATGATGACTGTACTAATGTACATTCCCATCTCTAGTGTGTAAGAGTTCCTCTTTATCCACATTATTATCAGCACTTGTTATTTTTGTGTTTTTCATGATAGCCATTCTAACTAGGGTGAGATGGTTTCATTGTGGTTTTGATTTCCATTTCTCTGTTGATTAGTGATGTTGGACGGTTTCCCATATACTTGTTGGCTGTTTGTATGTCTTTTGAGAAATATCTGTTCAGATTACTTGCGCATTATGTATATATTCTGGATATTACTATTGGATGAATAGTTTATATTTTTCTCCCATTCTGTAGTTTCTCACTTCACTTGATTGATTGTTTGTTTGTTTGTTTCTTTCTTTCTTTCTTTCCTAGGAGAGATTTTTGCTATAGGACGCATGCGCTCGCCAAAAAGACAGAGAGAGACAGAGATGGAAAGTGAGAAGTCACCTGGAGGAGGAGGGTGGCTACGCCGCAATTCCTTCTCCTCCATTCTCCTCTTGGGATCTTGGGCATGCACGCACATGTGCCTGGAGTGAGTTTAAGCAACCAGGTCCGGGACTTGAACCACAGTTGACTACATGAGAATCCAGCGACATACCTATTATCCCATCTGCTCGTCCCGATTGTTTCCTTATTGTGCAGAAGCTTTTCAGTTTGATTTAATGTCATATGTCACCTTTTACTTCTGTAGCCTGTGCTTTTACAGTCTTACAAAATTTTTGTTCAACTTGAGGTCCTAAAGCAATTCCTCTGTGTTTTTCTTCTGATGGTGTCATAGTTTCAGATCTTATATTTAAG